TTTTCTTTTAGTCCTTAATAAATGCTGACAAGCACCAACTACTAAACATTTACAGGTTAAACACTGACTTAATTTAGAAGACTTGACTGATGAATGAAACTTTGAAATCTAGCAGTCCATAATAGAGTATTAAGAGCCCTTCTTAGCAGGAATAAAAACAACTAAATTGAGTCCTGGGGCAAGTTGTTCTCCTCAGGAAAGATCCTTAAAAAACACAGCTGACATGTTTTGCTTTCCTGTAGGTAAAAAATCAGCAAATTTCAAGTAGAGAAACAATAGCAGAAATTAATTTTGGGGTACAACCACGTGGGTTAATATGGGTGCCCTGCACACAGCTCTTCCTACAGGCAGCATTTTTCCCTCCTCACTTTTATCAGGGGATTACGGCTGCACCAGCCCAATATGCCAAGAATTCATAAACAGGAACAAGCCAAAGCTCCAGGTTTTTCCTGTCACAGCTCAAATTTCAGCTACGTTTTTAAACTTACCAAGCTGCAAGGATCATGTACAATAATCTTTCAGGAAAGACTTGCCTAATTCATTCAAGATAATCTATTCTTCATGAGCGTTTCCATCCAAATTCTTATATTCTACATAGCAGAAGGTGAAATAGTATCATTTTTCTGGAGAAGCAGCTCCAGAAATCAATGGATCAAGTGCAATATATCAGATTCCCAAATACCTATCAGAATCAGTGAGTTCAGGCACACAAGCTACTAAGCTGATAGAAGGATGTAGTTTTACCTAGAGAACTATCACACATTCAGAATTTATTCATTGTCAAGCTCCTGTCTCACATCCTGCCAGTTTTCCAGAGTCCACCTCCAGTGCTGTGCTTACAGTCACCAACCTGTATTCTCAGTAGTGGTACACAACAATCTCTGCATTATCCCTGAGAATTCCAACATTTTATACTACAAATGCAGCAAAGTGGAATATATCTATAAATCCAGTACAGAGATTATAAATTGATAGATAAAACTGTCAGAGAATTACAGAATATTCTGAGTTGAAGGAGATCCACAAGATCATCAAGTCCAACTCTTGGAGTGGTGTAAAATGTCAGAGCAAAGTGCTTTTTGCAAAAGCAAAGGGAACTGAGGAACAGATCTCCCTTCCCTATAATTTCTGTGGAACCCACAGGGTCCAGGGCAGAGGTGGGAGAAGAGAGAAAACCCAAGAGTTGAGTCTAAATTTTCTGTGATGCTCCAGATGGTATTTGGTCACTAAATGCAAATTAGAGTTCTGCAACTTGCAAATCCACAATGTTCATGTCAAAAACACTTCCAACAGTCAGACACTCCCTCCTCTCCTTCCACTTCGTCTGTCCGATGTACAAAAAATGGATTTATGGGAAAAGGTACTGTGGCTGGAGCAGTTGCCAAACCTCTCCAGGCAATATCATTAAACAGCATTTGTCCTTCAGAAAATCAAACTTGAACAAACTAAAGCAACACCCAACTTTTTCAGACTTACAGAATCACTCCAGTTTTTCCTCACTCACTGACCCCACCCCAATTATCTTCTTCCACCCAGCACTGAATAAAGATCTTCAACCTCTCATCCAGTTTTAAATGCCATCCCAATAAAAACCAGAACATCATAGTCAAGGCTGGCAGGAAGAAGAAATGTAGGAGAATGTGCAAAAGACACCTCTGAAGTTCCCAGCTGCCTGGTTAATCCAACCACTCCACTGATCTAGAACTGCTCTGCAAATAATTGTTTTTACTTAATCTCCCATGACAGCATTTAATTATCCACAGTTTTGGAAAGCTACTACATAAACAATTCTCCTCGTACCTCCTGTTTACAACCAGTAAGTTGTTTTCCCTATGACTACTTGAAATGCTTTTATTAATGGTAGATTTGTTGTTTACCAAATCTTCAATGTTATAAAAAAGAACCCTTAGAGTTCATGAGCAAAAGTTTTTGAAGTGCTTCTGAAAGCAAAGCCTCAGTTTGGACTTTTCCTCTGTCTAGTGAAAGCAGTAAATATCATACAGCACTATTGGAGTGACTCTTATCCAGAAAAAAATCAAAAATTATAATTTAGACTTGAATTAATAAAACATAATATTTAAATTCTTTAAAATTCAATTATCACTAAATTATTTCACTTTCAAAGCATGAGACCCAGGCAGGAAAGAGAAATCAAAAACTTTGGTTTTGGTAAGAATTCATAATCTTACTATCAGGCATTATTCCCTGAAGTTCCTATATCTCAGATACCCAATTTGTTTTGGATAAACTCTAGTCTTCCTCTTGGATTTGCAGCATCAGATTCCTGGGACTTGTGCTCCTGAACATGTGAATACAACACAACAAAGTTCTGGCCATGGAACTCTTAAGTCACAGTGACAATCCAACCTGCAGGAGCAGCATTTCAAGCCAAAGCAGCTCATTTCCTGAGCAGCTTATCCCAAAAAACCAGCATCATGTTACCCCAGGCCAGCTGACAGGCAAGGAAAACTCTGCTTCAGTAACTTTCCTATTTTCTGTTTGTATGCCCACATGGAAATGCCCTTTATATTTTCAGGAAGATAATTTCAACTATCAAATAGTTCAGTACTGTTGCCTGTTTATACAATAAAACGTAGAATAAACTTGTTCCTTTTGCCTTCTGGCTGCATGAAGCAGTGAACACAAACTGTGTCCTTTGTCCTATCTCAAGGAATCAATGGACATAAATGCCTTGTTCTGGCAGAATTTGAGGCTCAATATTTTGTCAATACTGATGTTTGAACTCTAAAATGTACAGAACAGAGCCCGACAGCCCTATCAGCAGGAAAATGTACAACACTTACACAATTTACATCACTTTGAACTATATCTGATAAGTCACTACAAGTGTTTCAATGTGCTTTTAATATACAACAAGGAAATCTATCCTTGTAGGATTTACACACGTGACAACAGACGAGTTTCAGATTGAATTCCACTTAAAAGTTACTGCTCTGAAGGCTCCAGCCTGGATGCTGGAACACCCCGAGTGCTGTGTCCAGTTCTGAGTCCCTCAGCTCAGGAAGGACACTGAGGGGCTGGAGCATGTCCAGGGAAGGGAACAGAGCTGGGGAAGGGGCTGGAGCCCCAGGAGAGGCTGAGGGAGCTGGGAAAGGGGCTCAGCCTGGAGAAAAGGAGGCTCAGGGGGGCCCTTGTGGCTCTGCACATTCCCTGACAGGAGGGGCAGTGAAGGGGGGTCGGGCTCTGCTCCATGGAACAGGGACAGGAGGAGAGGGAACGGCCTCAGGCTGTGCTGGGGGCAGCTCAGGTTGGACACCAGCAGGAATTTCTGCGTGGAAAGGGTTGTTAAACATTTGTTGGGGCTGCCCAGTGAGGTGGTGGAGTCCTGTCCCTGGAGGTGTCCAAGGAACACCTGGACATGGCACTCAGTTCTCTGGCTGGGGGATCAGGCACAGGTTGGACTCAATGACCTTGGAAGTCTTCTCCAAACTAAATTCTGTTATTCCATGAAATTTTGAACCAGGCAAACAGTGTGTGACAGTGATGCTTTGCTATACTCTGCCCCATGCTGCACCCAGCAGAAGCAGGTTTAGCTGTCCAGACATTTAAGTGGATTTCTATACCTCCACCACTGGAAGCAGCATCACATTGTTGTAACCAAGATGTCAGATATAAACAAGCTCCTTCAATTTACAACAGAAGCATCACCTGCAACTCCCCTCAAATAAAAAGACACTTTAGTCCCATCTACTGCGTTTGAAATATTAAATAAACTATATTTCACTAAGAGAAAAGCATATATTATTAAAGCTTTGCTGGGTTAGTAGAAATATTACCCATTCCCTCATTCAAAACAGGTGCCTCATAAAAAATGAATGTCAGTGGAATGGCTCAGTGCAGCACTTGTGAGCCATCTCTTTAATTATACATGATCACAGGGCTACCTGCATGGAACACACCCCAAGGTACTCAGGCCTCCATATCTGTGATTTCACAGGCTCTGGTGCCAAATAAACAATCTGGCAGCCATCAAAGCAGGAAGTTTGGAATGGTGCTTAGAACAGAATGAAAAGAAATGAATATACCATAACACAGGATTAAACAGTGCAGGGTACAGGTGGGAGATAAGGGACAACTCAAGCACACTTGATAAACAAAATATTCTGTGTACTTGAAACAAACTTTATCACCAGGTCACCAGAAGGTCTAAAGGCCACAAAGATAAAAAATTATTGCAAGAAACCAGAACCTGATCCTTATGATTGTCTTGGGTTTTTTTTAAACTACCAGAACTGGTAAACTTCAATAGTTTTCTCACAAAACACAAGGTGAAAATGGAGGTAAAATTCATACAGCCTAATAAAAGACCTTTTAGTTCAGGCAAACTAAAACTTGTCCCAGCAACATACACCACCAAAAAGAAAAACAATATATACTGGATATAGGTCAAACCCAAACAGGATCACAACAAATACAGCAGAAGTAACTTTACCATGTTAAGGCTCCACATTCTGGAGACAATCCCAGTTGCATAAAGCCTATAATCACCAACTTATCACTGTCACCTCTGACCTACCTGCTCCTTCCTGCCTCTTATTCCACTCACTTATTGCAACCTGCCTTGGATCATGCTCAAATCCTGCAGCATGAGCAAGGAGCAAGTCCTGACCTCATAGATTTACCTGGGGTGCCATGGAGTTCACCTGATTCTACAGGAGAGGTGATTTATTCCATCAGCTACTACCTTGTGTCTGAGCTGGGGTATTATTATCATCATCAGTACCCCTTGAACTAGAATCTACTCTATTTTTAGAGGTTCCACAAAAATCCAAGTCATGATGTTGACTAGAGGTTCAAGTTTCACGTTGCATTTTATCACACAGCAAAAAAAGCCAAATTTACAGGCTTCTTTTGTTCTCCTGTAGGTCTTAAAACACAAACTACGACAAAATCACATAAAGTAGCAAGTTAAAGCATTTAAAAACATGTCCTTTTTCACTGGAAAAACCAGAAGTAATGAGAAGCAGAGAGTGGCTTACTGTGCAGCTCACGGTGGATGACATCGACCAGGTTGGGCTCGTCCCCCCACCAGAATATCCAGAGCTCCTTGCAGTCGGGTTTGACGTCGCGGCGCCACACGCACAGCAGGTTGGCCTGCAGGCAGCGGATGAAGCTGAGCAGGATGGGATCATCCTGGGCTGGAGCTGAAATGATGGGCCCACAGTCCCCATGGCCTTCAAAGTTGTACCTACGCCATTTGATGCCCGTGAGTTCAGCCTATGGGAAACAAAATAAGAAGTAAAAAGTCATTGGATTACTTTATAATTTAGTTATAGTCATAGTTTGTTTCATTTTCATTGGTTAATTCCTCAATTCAAGTTCCAAAATCCTCCGATTCATAGAATTTCCTTTATTCCCCTTCAAGGAAAAAAAATAAACAGCACTGAATAAACCTGGCTTATCCCTGCATTTAGGTTTTCACCACAACCTGACTCCCTTCTACCCATTTCTATTCTATTCATTTCCAACAGCTTCATTCAATGTCTAACCTTATTGTTATCTTATTGTCATCTTACAAGTTAAAAAGGAAAAAAAAAAAAAAAAAATCAAACAGAGAGAGGGAATAGGGCTCATTCCCTACAGGCTGCTTGGAGGCCACATGAGCTCAGTGTGAGCCCAAAAGTTGGCCACTTAAAAGTCACAAGTACCACAGAACTTAAGAAAACCAGTGACTTACTGGACAAGCTAAAGCAGCTTCACATTGTGATGTTACAGGTTTACCAAATGGGCTTTTTATTTTTATTTTGTCCAAATGAGCAAAAGCAGAATATGGAAAGTTGCCATTTACTGCCTCTCAACCAGACAGAATTCTCTTATTAACCATCAAGGGAGAATAAAGAAAGAACAGATTTGCTACCCAGACGTTTGGGAAAGGTTTTCTTTGGGCACTGAACAGGCTCCCCAGGGAATGGGCACAGCCCCAAGGCTGCCAGAGCTCCAGGAGTGTTTGAACAACACTCTCAAGGATGCACAGGGTGGGATTGTTGGGGTGTCTTGGCAGGGCCAGGAGTTGGATTTAATGATCCTGGTGGGTCACTTCCAATACTGGGTGTTCTGTGACTCAGATTTTCCTCCACACCCAGTTTACCCCATCCCTGTTGTAGCTTCCCCCTTACTCTCTAGCACAGGACAGGGAATACCCCCAGGACAGTCTGGCTGTTATCAAACACAACTGGTGTGTGTATACCCTGCTCACAGCAGCCTTGTACTCTACTCTCCAACCTGTTACCACATTCCTGCTGCTGCTACTCCCTCCACTGCTTCATTTCCAGTGTTCACACCTTCCCTTGGCTGCCCAGAAGCAGCCGGTGCTCAGCTCCCAAGTGCTCCTGCAGGAACAGCCAGCTGCTCTGCCGTGAGGAGTGCAAACACTCCAAGGCAGCAGCTACACCTCTGATGAGAGAGGGCATTGCCAGGAACAAGGGGAAGAGCCAGCAGTGGAAACACTGACTGTAGGAATGAATTTTTACTCCTAAAGAAAACCAAAGACTTGACGATCACATATTCCTCCCACTGTCACCACCTGTGTAAGGACATTCAACTTCTCCAAAACCCAAATTCCCCATTACACACAGAAGGATTTCCTTTTTCAAGTCCACAAACTTAGTCCATTTACAGGTTTAAACTCTAAAATTTACTTCTGTCCACCACAGTAGCTGGAAGGAGCCTGTCTGGTTCAAGAGCAGACTGGTGAACTGCCGAGGAGCTGAAGGTGATGCTCATCATACCAACTACAGAAGCAAAAAACACAAGTATTTCTTGGATCTTGTAAATACATTCTCTGAAACAGTTTCACCTCATTCCTGTATACTGCCTGATACAGAAGGACTCTGGCCCATGCTACAGTTCCTGGGACTCTGCCTCAAGGACTATTTCCCCAAACACTGATTATCCACTTAATTGTCCTCTGAAGAAGCCTCACCAGGCACACAGCCACACAGTGCTGTACTGGGAAGGGGAAAAAACCTATGGAACAGTGAACAGAAAGGAAGTTGGGTTTATTGTTTGCAGGCCCCATGGCATCTTTAGCTCCACAGGGCAGAAGTGACACTGCCATCCTATATCCTGCTAGCAGGACACCAGTCCTGGATTGTCCCAGCTGGAGGCTCCCTACAGCCAGCACTGAGCTCTTGCACTCAGACAGAAATGCTAATCAGCCATCCAAAGGGTTGGGAACTATGGAAAAGGAAATGTGAAAAGATAGTCCAGGCTAGCTAAGATACACAGCCATGTGCCACCTTCCTGGAACAACAAGGGCAGAGGAATGCAGGAGGAAGAGGCAAAATGGAAGGAGTAAAGTTATTTTTTCCATAGTATGGTGCTGGGTCTCCTCATACACTAAATAACAGTCTAAGAGAAAGTGCTCCTCCAAAACATCTACATCTGTTCTATGTGTGTCCCCAGCTATAGCTTGGGCAAGGAACGGACAGAGTTTCTGAAACAGGATAATAAATTCACCTATGAACCACAAAACACCAAGAATTAGTGCCAGCATAGGCAACGTGTGAAAAAATGAAGCTAAATGTCTGTGCCATTACCAGCTAAGAACTTATGCGAAGTCACAAAGAGCATGGAACAGGAAGATGACGAAAACCAAAACCAAAAACCCAACTGAACAAAGGACCTTACCCAACAGCAGCACTCGCTTGATCCACACAGCAAAAGCCACAGCTCAGCTGTTTCAAAGAGCAGAGAGGCTCCTGTGGCTTCCTGCCAGCTCAGAGGTATCACTCTAACATCCCCCCCAGAGGAGGGATGAAACAGAGTCAAGGAAAGCACAGCGAAATCAGCAGAGCTGCACCTAATTTAATTCTGCACTAACAAACTCCTGGAGTCTGTAATTCTGTGGACTGTGAGGAATGATAAACTACTAACCTGGATCACACCAGTGGCCACCCATACAGAGAGAGACTCCTGAGAAAAGGGAGAGACAAGTCCTGGGGCTTTGGACTCGGCAGCAGCATTAAATGAGCTCTCACACATCGTTTCCCAGTCCGAGTTGCAGAGATGTGGTTCAGCACATGTACTGGGATATGTCTGTTTCTGTTTAAATTTTTAATAGGTAAGCATCAATAGTAATCCCTCAGAACTTCTGGATTATGTCCTCATGTTAATTAAAACTGAATTCAAATAGAGATTTGAATCCAGAAGGGACACACAAGAGCAGACTACACCCAAAACACTTACATACATTCTACGCCTCTACTGATGTTCTGTGTAAAGTATTTAACTCACTATAGGGAGAAGATCTGCATCCACATGGGGATTTATTTACATTAATTTCTTTAAACAAACCAACAGCCCTGGTTTGAAAAGTTCTCCATCTGTAGCAGGGTTTGCACAGACAAGACAAGCAGTGGGCTGTGATTCTGGGAACTGTTGTGAAGCACCAAATGTGGTTTCAGTTGTGCTTCACTGGCAGCGAGCACAGACTGACCCAACACAGCCTCCTCCTCCTCAGCCCCAGCCACGCATTTCCATGTCCCAGTCTGACACTGGATCTGGTCGTGGAATCACTCGGTGAATGGGATCACTTCATCAATTTAAACAAGAGAAAGCAAGAGAAAGACAAATGCTTCCAGGCTCAGCACCCTGACAACTCATCCTGCAGCCAGGGAAGCACCAAGCAGCTCCAGGAGAGGAGGGAGAGGGGAGTAGGATCTTCCCTGTCAGGGACAGCTCCAATCAGATAAAACACAACTTTCAGTGCACCCAGACCGCTGTTTGTGTACACCTCAACCAACACAAGCAAGCACTGGTGCCAGAGCAGGCCCTGCCTGGGTGTCCCTGCAGCACTCAGCTGCTGCTCAGACATGCACACTGAGCTGGGCTGACTCAAACCCAGAAGGGTTGGATTAAACGACTTTTTCCTCTACTCAGATCAGTCCCCACACCTGATTCATTAAACAGCCACAGAGATGCTTGTACCGGGAAGTCTGAGGACAGCAAAGCAGGTCAGGGAGGGCAGAGCTGCTCTGATTAGTAAAACTGTTGGTTTGAAAGCAGTCTGAAACACTGAGACAGAAACCAAAATTGCCAACCTGAGGACAAAACAGTGAACATGCTGTTTAACTCACAACTGGCTAGAGATGAATGCAGAACAAAGCAGAACTCTTGCCAGGTGATGTAATTTACTGTGTTTCTTGCATCTCTTCCCATATGCACAGTTTTGGCTTATTGCAGTTGCTACAATGTTTTTAAAACTAAAAAGCCTGACCAAAAAAAAGGAACTTACAAATACTTATTATTATACAATACTGGTAGCAAATCATGCATTAAATGAGATTTTTGCTTTGGTTTATAAAGGAACATGTGTTATGGAAGACTGTGCTGTGAAGAGTTCAGCTGCTCAGATAAGTGGGGCTGTTCTGAAATGGAGTTTTTTTCCTAAGTTCAGCTAACTGCAGTTGGACACAAAATATTTGAGAGACGCCAGTTCTAAATGCACTGGGCCAACCGTGTAAGGACACAGAGAAATTGGATCTCTAACAGTAATACCCAAACCCTTCACTAACATCCAACATCTTACAAAGTAATTCCCAAGACACAAAAAGATCTGTTTCTGATGTTTTCAAAAGCAGCTGTCAGGGTAGAGGACTGTGTTCAAGTTCCACACAGGCATCCAAAACCACCCAAAACATCCCCAAGAAACAGGCATTAATGAAAACAGTGCATTGCCAATGTCTTTTTTGAGATGCGTGGCCATAGAGTGATCACACAGAGTCCCTTGGAAAGGGACACAAGCTCGGGTTTCAGGGACCATCATCACACCCTGCAGAGTGAAACAGCCTCAAAAGAGATGAACTGAGAGTGTTCAAACCTCTGATCCCCCCTGCACACACCGACAAGCAGAGAGACACAGAAAGCAAATTAGCACTTTCTTTCACACCCTGCTGCCCTAAATACAGACACCTCCACATGTACCTGCCACAGCTCAGGGCTCCAGGACACCATCCACGACTGTGAATTCATTGGAGAAAACCTAAGCTCTCATTCTTTTCCCCCTTCAGGCTTAAATCACAATAATAGCAGGCTGGGAGGGTCCTCTGCTGATCTCATTGTGCTCCCTCAGATTGGTAGAGTTTAGGCTGCTAAAAATCACAATTCCCCAGTAACATTTCACAGTACACAACTTGGTGCTGGCATGCTCCCAGCAACCCTGAAGATATAATTAGTGCTGGGTAGCCACTGTGACTGTTTTCCTCTTCTGCAGCCCT